GTGTGGTCCCTTAAATTTTTAATTTAATCGCCATGGTGAAGTGGGCGGTGGAAGCAAGCAAAATGGCAAAACTATCAGCTTTGAACATTTTGTTGGCTTCACTCTCCGACCGCATATTATTAAATTACATAAAATGAAAACAAAATATTGGGATGTATCATGTCTAGCTTGTTTGGATTCGGCTAAAGATTGATTATTGAGACCCTTCGGGGACATCTGCATTTTTTTTAAAAAAAAGAAAAATAGATTATTGAGCCAAAATAATCGATTTTTGCAAAATTTATCCAAACAACCACCAAAATTATAATTAATTATTAAGTTAGAATTATGTTTTGAAATAAACTATTAAATAATATATTTTACTTTTTAAATTAACAAATTTAATAATATTAAATATAACTTTGTCAATAATTTAATTTTAAAAAGTAATATCTTTTATGATAATTTATATATTTAAAATTAATTTTAGTATCCAATGTTATAACAAAATTAATTATAATTATAATTAATTATATTAATTAATATAATTAATACTCAATTAACATTTAAATGGGTCTGTCATTTGAGTCAACAACGTTGCCTTTTCTTTTCACTTTCGCTTTTCCTTTGAGTATGTTAAAGTATCCAAATGAGGCAGAAATTATAATGAATGACCATAAAGATTGCAATTATACTAAAAGACCGAATTACTATTTCCTAATTATAAATAAATTTTGACATATTTTATTAAAATTAAAAAAATATTAAAATTTATTAGCTCTATCTAAAAATTTAATAAACTTTCAACTTCACTTTTATTAAATATGTATATTTTGACACCATATTTTCTTTCTCTAATATTTATAGAGGGTGAAAGGAAAAATTGTGAGAAAAAAATTTAATAATGTAACTTATAAATATGATAAGAAATTTTAATTTTTTGTATAGAAATAAGACTAGAGGGAACATATCTCATGGAAGAAATGTCATCATCTTTGTCTTCCATTTTTTTTATTTTCTTTTCTCTTTTTATTTATTCATTTCTTTTATTGTTTGCATGGCTATCTAAATGGGTCCGGTTCAAGTACAATCATGGTCAATTGGGGGTATCTCTCCCAGATGCATTTTCTTCTTGTTTTGATTGTTCACGTATATTTTTTTATTAAAAATAATCATATTTAAAGTACAATTAAACATAAAATGTAAGTATTTCTTTTAATAAAAATTTGAACATTAATTTATCACATGGTAAGATATTAACTTCTTACATTAAAATTTAGACATAACCCCCTCGTTAAAGGCATTTTTGTTAATATTTCTTCTATTTTTTCCCCACCAAACTTGTCTTATTTAGACGTAAGCAACTTTTTTAGGAGCATTACTTTAAGAACCCACTAAAAAAAATTAATTATTCTAAATTTATTAATAACTGAGTTTAGAAGAATGATAATTGTTAATAAACTTAAGAGTAATTAATTATATTGAGTATGACTTAAATGTAATTCTCCTCTTTTCTTTTGGTAGAAATAGCCAATTTTATCGAAGATGGGTTGGACTGGCCCACTTTCAAGTGGGTTGAACATGTTTTGGTAGTCTAATGGGCTAAATGAAACAATCCACTTTTCCACCTCCTCCCCCCTCAAGTGATTAAGAAAAAAAAAAAAAAACTTAATAAGTGAATTTCATGCTATCGAATTTCACAATAATTTATATTAAACCAAAACATAAATTAAATTAAAGTTAATTCATACTACCTACTTCCATAATCAGACACGCTACCTATCATAAATATGCTGTCCTTCAACCTCATTTTATAATTGACCTTTTGAGATTTACAACTAAATTATGTGTTGATTTCATATTAGCATTTTTATTCATTTGCGTTTTTTTTTTTCGCAATGCAAAAAATCATGGTTTTTCAGTATTATATTACTTTTTTCTGATACAGTCCTTCCACTACAGTCTTCCTTAAAAATATACCAATTCAATCAATAATATAAATAATGAATAATATAACTTATTTAAAATTTTATATAAAATACAATGTCGCATGAGTCCTTCAAAGAAAATTACACTAAATTACCATAAATCATTAAATTGTAGTTATATTGAATGAACCCCGACACCATAAATTGCAGGTATGTGGATTGGAATTTATCCCATTTTTAATCTTTTCTTAATAAAATAATAAAAAAAATCTATAACTGAGTCTCATGCTAGCTAATTCCAAATGCAATAATTTATATTAAAATAAAGGTATGTTTTTGCCTTTAAAATATTTGTTATAACATTTTCTATCATGATATTAAATCATCAAATCAAAGCATCCTCTATCTTGATATTAAATCATCACACGTTGACAGTTAAGAGTTACTGAGTTGGATTGAACTCTAAGCGAAAATGCCACGTCTGATATTAAGAGGAACTAGTGACTAAAATACAAACAGCAAAAATGTCAGCGGCAAGTGCTTTGGCTCATTCTCTACTTCAGTTCTTCTCTCCGCAGGAGCGATTCAAGCATTATCAAAACAAACCAAACCACGATTCAAGCTGAATTAACTTGGAAACCAAACCCACCAAATTGGTGGAAGAAAAACTAAGATTAGTAGAGAACTAAGATTAATGTAACTGCGCAAACAGCCACTACAAGCCGTGAACTTCAAAAATCGAAGATGAAGAAATCAAACCAAAGGCAAAAATCAAAGACGCAAAAGTCAGATGCAAATAAATACCTATTTGAATTCCTGCACAGGGGGAGTTTCCCTGCCTTAGCTTTGTTATTTCATTTTCCCTCATAATGTCTCTCAACCACCACAGTTAGAGAATATGAAGAAGAAGAAGAAGATAATAGAAGATCCCTCCGCTATTCTCACCTTGTGAAGTGATTAGGTTGGAAATGAGTGTTTTCTTTGTTGAAAGCTAAGATCATATTTGGTATGTTAGAATTGAGTCCAAAAAAAATGGAATTAAAATTGAAATCATGCTTTTAGTTGTTTCGTATGCATGAATCCAATTCCTTATGGATTTTAATTTTATTAAAATACCTAGAATTCAATTCCATCTTTATCATGATGGAATTGCCACAATTACATAGAATTATCATAAGTGCCCCACATACACACTCCATCATGATGGCTAAGTTTTTTATTTTTTTATAAGGGCATTTTAGTCTTTATTTATTTTAAATACATATATTTATTAATATTATATTCAGATTTCATCTTCATACCAAACATATATTTATAACTTAATTCAATTTTGATTTCAATTCCGATTTCAATTCTAATTCCGGTTCCAATTCCATCAAAAATTCTTCCATCATACCAAACGAGGCCTAAGATTCCTAAACAATCTGTTGTCAATGTAATCTTCCTTCGGATTGCACCATTTAGTTTCTTGAGGGTATTTCACCCTCACGCATTGGAGCCGCTTTCTATTGCCTTACTACAACAAAAATTCTAACTTCGAACCTTTATAACCCCTTTGATTTCAAGCGCGCACCCATTCTCCTCGCAGTTGGATTCCTTGAGGTGAGAAGCTAGTGGAGGATTGTCGGAGACAGCCAACGGATGACTATTTAGGTTTCGCACAAAACAATTGAATCGTCAATTTGGGTCCTCGCTAAGCTAGCTTGCAAAAAGTGTGATCAGAGATAGGAAATCAATTTGCGAGAGACCTGTAATAGTGGAGAATCATCGACTCATCACCATTGTTGCTGGCAGAGGGCTTTCGTTGTCGGTGCGAATGACCATGGCGATGGAGAAGAGAGGAGAGAGAAGATTCATCAGAAGAAGATACAATTTGGAGGAGAGAAATTGAAGAAGACGGGAGACAGGGCATGACACGTGGCATCTTGGGATCCATATGGCATGACATGTGGCTTTTTGGGTCAGACTTATTCAAAGTTAAAGGCCGCATTACGGAATTTAACAAAATGGGCAAAAATGTTTCGACTTAATTAGTTAATGTACGAAAATGCTATAATAAATATTTTAAGGTATTAAGTATTTTTTTAAAAGTTATTTTAAAAGTAAAAATGTATCTTAATCTTTTGTGTTAACCCGGCAACACTTCAAATTAATTCATATTAAATGAATTGACAACTGAACACACTGTTAATCATAAATTCATAGTCTTTTAATACCATTTTTGCAATTGAATTTTTTATATTTATAATTCAGTTATACGCTGACCGCATAAGGGCATTTTTATCAATTTGTTTTCCCTCATAATTTCATGTTTCAGTGTTTTTTTTTCCCCTTCCATGGTCGTGAAATAATGATAGCATTAACCGCTTACAGAACAGAGTATGACATTGATAATAATATATTTGATTCATTAACTCAAGGATTTACGTGAAGTTTAATAAAAAGTTGTGGGAAAGTGTTCTTACCAAAAAAAAAAAAATGATAGGCAGAGGAAAAGAAAAGAGAATATGTCAGAAATATATTTGGTCAATAAGAAAAGAAAAAGAAATATATTCAGAAATAATTACAGTAAGTTTGGTAATTTACAAGCAAAATATGCCGTTTCCGCCAAAACCTCACCAAATCATACCATAAAAAAAGAGAAGGAATGTAATGCAGCTCCATGGAATAAATTGTCTAATGTCCAAATTGCCCCTAAGTTCAATTTACTTTGTGACCAATATCTTCTTGAGAGAATTATATTAAAATTTTATATAAAAAATTAATTATTATAAAGTGACAACTGAAATGTTCAATTATCAGTGAGCCTTGTAGTAATTAATTTTTTTACCTAAGGCTTAAATGTAAGTCTCTCATCTTTTTCTCAGGCATGTTATGGTGGGTTTTTATCATATATCTTTTCAATCTTATCATGTTTCTATTACACCAAACATAATATCACAAAAATATGTCTATCTTATTTCAGACAAACCAAACAAGATTACAAGTTATGTGTATTCTCATTCATATTCCCATGCCGATTTCTTTATTATTCATTCCATCAAATCAAATATACGATTGCGATAAGTTAACATGTAAGAATAGCTATATATCTAATTGTAGAAATACGTACTATGTGATATAAATCCTATAAAGGTTGTCTATACAAGGCCTCTCGATCACTAGAGTCATAAGGGACTACACTTGAACCTCACCATTTCTCAAATCTTGAACATGAGAAGAACATGAATACAGCTGAACCCAGAAAATGGTTTCTCCATTCAGAAATAACATCCTGAGTCACAAGTCCTAAAAAAAGAAAAAAAAAAATCCCCTTATCATTCACGTTCATCCAGGCAAACAAAATAACCAGAACATAAATCCAAACAGTTTGATAAGGAAGAAGAGGCCAAAATTTAGAAAAGAAAAGGAATTGAAAATAAAGACAATAAATATGCAAAAATGGAGATCTCACCCTCATTAGAAACACACAAGTAGGGTCGATGGGACATGGCGAGTTATTGGAGATGATGAATTTTAAATTTGAAAGGAGAAAAGTGTACCGGTGTGTTGGAAGACAGGGAAAAAAGTCGACCGATATACCTGAAAGAAGCAGCATGCATCATCGATCTTGCGGATGGTGACGAAATAGTTAGGACCATCGAGATCTTGGGAGGTTGATGAGAGGAAGGGAATTAACTGTCGAAGGATCGAACATTTTTAAGGCTTGGATGGTCGCTATGGGAGGAGGTTGATGAAAGCCTTGTTGTCCTCTTTCAAAAGCTTCTGCAACTCTTTCAGAAGCTTACACAACTTTGCTTGGCATATAGCTTTTTAGGGCTTTCTTGACAATTTAGAGCCGGTAATCTCAACCTGCCAACTCATCAAAAAGTCATGGTGGGCTAGTAAAAGTGAGGCTAATTTAGATGCGGGGTTGTTTTGGCACTCACCACATAACCTGAACAGCTCAACTCGTGGTGCTTTTTTTTTTATCCCCTATTTTAAAAATTTGTAATTCTCTTCTCTTCTTTGTCCTTGTCGCCTTCGACCGTCAATCCAAACCCGCACTCTCACTCCTCACAAACCTTCAGTCAGACATTAGTTGCCTTCTCATCCCTTAATTTCTTCTCTCAATCTTTCTCTCTCTCTCTCTCTCCATCTCCCGAAACTCTTCGATCTCTCTCTCTCTGTTTGTTTGTATGAGATACAATTTTGAACAATCGTGACCTCATTCGGCTTTGTTTGAAAAGTATGGAGTTCTTTATGACCACCACATTGGTGAAGTCTCAGCCTCTCCACAACACAACTTCTCCCTCCCTAATTTCTTGAAATGAGGCGACCAGAATCACGCTATCTTAATTCAAGTTAAAAAAGTGATGGATTTGTGACTAATTAAAAAAATATATATTTTCCAATGGGTTGGCAAAGAATCATTTATTTTAGTTTGAAACTGATGATAGCAACCTAAGAAGCACAGGTACAATACGATACGTAGATACGGCAATTTTTTAAAATTTTAAAATACAGGTACGACTATATAAATAATTAAATATTAAATATTTGAATGTTCAAAGATACAATTTCAAGATGTCTAATGCCATCATAAAATACAATACAATAAATAATTAAACACTATTAAGTGACAAAAGATAATTATTAACTTAAATTAATTCTAATATTCTCCATCTTCATTGATACCATTACTTTCTTTTATAAGTTCTCTCTTTAAAATTGTTTCATCTAGAGATAAACTTACAACTTCAAGATTTTCAGCATCATTTATTTCTTAACAATCTCCACTAGTATTTCACAATCTACTTTTTTCAATGGAATACTTCTCACTCTTTCTTGAAAGAAGACAAAGATTTGAATGAACAAAAACTAATTTCTTGCAATTTTAACATAAAGAGAGCTAATAAAAATTTAAAATAAATCAATGTTTAACTTAACAAAATAATCCATCCAAATAAAAAACATTAAATCAATAATTCAACATTAAATTGGGAAAACGGACGAAGTTGTCCTCTCACTTTAGCAATAAAACTAGTAAGCAATAACACCTAGCAGTAAGCCAGTAACTAGTAAGCAATAATACCAAGAAGTTCTCTCGGGTCAACATTAATAGAAATACCCAATCAATAACTAGTTCGGCATTCTTCTATCAAGATTATACTCAGAAAAATGCAAGAACAGCAAGAAGCAAAAGTTAAGGGAGAGTTTGCTTAGAGAAGAAGATGAAAAAGATGAACTTATGAGGTAGAGATGGCTATAAGTTTTGAAGAAGTCAAGCTCAAATGGCCGCGAGTTTTGAAGAAGCACCATTGAAGAAGGATGATGAGGCAATGAGTGACAGAGCGAAGCAAACGCGAGAAAGGGGACAACTCATCTTGGGAATCTTAGGGCATCCATTTTTTGGGGTTGGTAATGAGTAAAAAAAAGTGAACAGCATAAAGTTTCATATTTGCCTATTTCTAATTTGCGTTCGCCCATTTCAGCTAGCGTCCGCCCGTGTTTGCTAGAAATTGGGAAAATGGATGCTCCATTTTTGCGACCTTAATGCGTGTTCGTGTTGGATACGTATCCAACGCGGACAGGCCAGCCATTTTCACACACCCATGTTTTTGAGATAGCAACCATCTTCGAAACACTGAGGATTAAATAAAAGAAAGGGGGATGAGGTGAACGAAGTAATTAAAGCCACCCCTAATCACATTGTTAATTATTTTCACCAACCAAGGAAAAAACTAATTACATTTATTGCAAAAACATGGTGGATTTGTATACAAAAATAAGGAAAAGAGCTATGTTATTGGCAGTTAATCCACTCTTAGTAGGCTTGAGTTGGGAAAATACCAGCTCATTTATGAGTGGGTCTTCCCAACTCGCACCCACCAGCCCGAGACGGGTGAGCCAGCAACTAATTAGTTTGCCCATTTTGCTAGCTTTATCTGGTCATGGTTGCTGTCTTGAAGGCAACTCGGGTCCTTTGGTTCAAACCCCGATGAGAACATGAAAAGCTAATGACAATATCGTCCTGTTCATATTTAATTAATTATTTGTTTAGTTGCCGTGCTCACCCCAAGTAGATTTATTTAAAATTTGAATTTTGAAGAGTGTGTGTTGAGAGATGCAGCCTGCGTTCTTGAGGATACATCCATTGGAAATAGATCATTTAACCCACCAGAGTGAATATTGTTTTTGAGAGAATGACAAGAACTTTGTAAAAATATTAATTTTAAATTAAAAATTTTAATACTGAAATATGGTAGAAAAAGTATTGTAATTTAAAAACATCAATATTAAAAAAATTAATTTGATATTAATATTTTTATAAGGTCTTTATTTGTTATTCTTCCTATTTTTTCCACCAATCAAATGATGATATCTATGTGCTTTATATTCATTTTGATCAAACTTCCTTTCTTAACTAATCTTGATTCAAAATATAAATAATCTAAGACATATAAAAAATGCATCTTCATTTTATCTCTTGTATTTACTAATCTAAATATTTATGTAAATGTATTTTTTATTTATTATAAAATACATTGGTTATTAGGGCTATGGGTGAAAAATGAAAAAAATATATTTTTTTAAAAAAGAAGACTTTATTGATATGTGAATTTTTTTTTTAAATACTGATATTTTGAATGAGAGGGAATATAATATATTCAATTATATTTTCTTTTATTTTTATTATAAAATATTTTTAATCATTTTACGCAACTATATTAAATATTTTTATGTGACCCCCTCTTGTATTTTTTTTTTTTAAGTTATTGAAAAAAAGAAACCGACAAATGTTGATAAAAGAAAAAGAAATAAAAAAAATCCGCAAAAACTAGCACCTTCGTCTTTTCACATGCCCTAAACCATTCGCTGCCATTCCCGCGACCACTGGCCACTTCTCATCGGTGTCAAGCTTCCATCGGCCACCGGTAAGACCCGCTTCTTTTTCTTCGATTGCTATCTAAGCTTTATTGATGTTCGAAGAATGAGGTTTATGAGATAATTGCGAACCGGGGAGATTGATGAGAGAAACACAATAAAGAGAGATAACTTTTGAAAGAGTAAAGGCATTTTAGTTTGGGAGGGTAAATTCCTATTAGAATCTTACGCGAGGCTGTCAGGGATTCAGGCAAAGCACTCTCCTCCCCCTGTTCGTGTAAACATCTTTTTAGGTTCCTATCATGCTAATTTGTTCTGGAGTCTCGTAAACACTGGATATAAGCTTCTTTATGGGAAGGAGAGAGTATAATTGACGTTCTTAGCACTTTTTTCTATCTCTCTTTTGAATTCCCATACCTCAAGGCAGTAAATAATGCTCTGACTGGTTTGAGTTGTAATTAATTGAGGATCTTTTGTCTTCGATATCTTTGTACTTGAGAGAATTAAAAGAGTGATAACTGGCATAACATCGTAGGTTATACAAGAAGAATTCATTCTGGGGATGTTAACAAGAGGGAATTCCTTTTTCTGCTCAATTTGCTTTTCTGTTCACTTCTTCTCTAATTATTCACCAAAATTTAGTAGCAAATGGCTATTGCTAGTTAAATATAAACTTTAAATTTGATTTCTTCACTTAGGTCGTTTGTGATCACTGACAATGAAAATCTTCACGCCTCAGCAATCCTTTTACATTCTTATAACATACTGAAGTCCAAGCTATATGAGATTGCCCCTTACTTTATTTTTTGTCTCCTGAACCGTTCTTTGTTATCTTTCACAGAAAGAAAGAAAAAATATAGAAGGCAAGAAAGCAATCCTGATCTTCAGCTTTGCCGTGCTTCTAGCCGTAGGTCGTCTTAGCTTTATATACTTAAAATGAAGCTTGTCAGGTGATTCTCTATCGCTCTTTCTATCTTTTTTTCTTTTGTTGCTTTAGTAATGTTCTGTTCTGTTCTCTTACTCATTGTTTTTGGCCTACATATTAATATGAAATGCGAATGTTGGAGCAGGTTTCTAATGAAGCTCAACAATGAAACTGTTTCAATTGAGCTCAAGAATGGCACAGTTGTTCATGGCACCATTACAGGTTCTTTCTGTTCATCTTAACTCTTTTACTACTTTAATCAACTTTTGAAGTTGTTATTTCATTCATTGTTTTGTTAAACATGACTTTAAGCTGACTGTTTATTAGAAATATCTTTGTACTTCCATTGAATTACTATCTTTAATTTTGAGACCCTTAGCATGCACTTGTGACAGGTAGTAGGTAAAAGGTCCTAATGGGCATCCATGCTGTCTAGGCGTCTAGCAGCTTAGCTCAATATGATATTTAGTGGTTTAACTAGTAGTAAATATATTTCCTTTTTTATGGTATCTGTTAAGCATGTCTGGACCTTATAGTTTACACGCAATTGCTTACACATAGAACTATTAAATTTTGACTCAATTGTACATGTAGTGTCTGCTTATAAAAAAGTGGTAGCGTGCTTTAAATAATGGCCTATTTAAAGCAAAAGATTTGAGAGAATAGAGATGGCATTTCTGTATAATTGGAAAAAGGTTATGCAGGCAGCAAATAATGCAGCTAACGCTTAATTTTGCTGCTGAATCCTATCATTTAGGTGTTCTGTTTTGTTTGGTTCAACCCTTGATTTGACAACTAATCAAGTCTGTAATATCATGCACACTGGTGGAGCTATGTTCACTTTCCCCTCCTTGACTTTTTGAATTTGTATGCATATGATATTAAGTTTTGATGTTATGCCCCCATGTTTCTAAAAATGTTGAACGCATCGAAACTACCCATGTATTATATAATTTTTTTTATTTAACATTTTAAATTGAACCCACTTTATTTACATTGCATTGTGTATAAAAATATCTCAAAATTATTACTATTATTTCCTGTTTCCTTATGTTACCTTTTCTTTTTCCTTTTTCTATTTTCTCCCTACCTTCTTTTCTTTCTGTGTTTGAGCTTCCAAGGTGTGTCCCTTATGTATCCACTCTTCAACTTTTAGCTTCTTGAGATAATCTCTAATTTCAATAAGAAAGTTAATCTCAATTGGGTCACTTTGTTTTGAATGGTAAGTGGCTAATTCATCATAGTATTGGTTGTGCTACAATTATATTATCTGTTACTAGTGTCAATATAAATTTCAGCTTCTATCATTTTATTATTGTATATACTATAAAAGTGTTTTTTTAATGTTGCCTGAAATTTCTGAGGGCAAAATTAATATTAAAGCAGTAATTTTCATCTAGATCGCATGAATCTAATTTCCAGTAACTACAAATTGAGATAAGTTAAAAGAATTGCCATTACTTAGAAAATTGAGTTAAAATTTTAACTTATCACCCCCAATTATGGAAATAATACAAATAAGTGTATAACATTCAAACAAATGAGTCCCATGTCAATTTCATCTCTCCTAACTTGAGGTTCTGGCCATGGAAACCCCTCCCCCCACCCCGCCATCCCAATCAACACAGGCATATGTGAGTATGCCATTGAGATCAGCTGAGCTATTGATGACTCAGCTGCAGTTTTATTCAATGAAGAAAGAATACATATATAGGATGCTGAAGCTCTTTGCTGCCTCAAGGAGTCTGTCTAAGCTAGGTTAAATCTAATTAAATAATATATTGTCTAATAAATCAAACTGATAACAAAACGACCTCTTCTTACTAAATTTTCAGCTTTTGATGGACCATGTCCTCATTTTCAAGTTTCTAAATTGATTGCAATATTAACCCATGCTAGATGTGACTTTTTGTTTGCATTATTACTTGTTTAGTGATAGTCTTCAAAATGATGAAATGGTGCATTCATAGTGTGAGAATTTTAATCTTAGAAGAAGTTAGTGACGGAGTTATCTAAGTTTTTTTTGATATGTTAAAAATACTACTAATTCACCTCTTAATTACATACAATGTTGCGATGTTTTGAATGCTCAATCCTAGTATATAGAAATTATTTTTAATGGACAAATTTCTCAAGTAACTGCAATCAACTTGAAACTAAAAGCTCCTATTAAAATAGTTTAATGGATCACTTTTCAAAACATGTGGATTTAGAGGCAATGGTTAAAATACTAACTCATTAATGGAGGAAATTTTAGTGATACAACTATTACTATTTGGCAATCCAAGCATTATTAATCTTGTTTTAGAGAATACTTTTGCAAATGCTTCATATATTTCTCCTAGCATAAAAAAAAAAAGAGATCTTATTCGTCTTTGCTAGAAGGGTACATGCTATAATTTGTGAAGAAATTGGTGATTTTAAGTTCTATCTTTTATTGATGAATTGAGGGATGAGTCAGAAAGAGAAAGAGAACAAATGCCTATAGTTTTGAGATTTATAGACAAACATGGTTATATTAAAGGTTTTTTTTAATCTTGTTTATGCTTAAGATACATTAGTATTGATGAAGTTTTGATCTTGCTCATCACAATCGCAATGTTTAAGATCTTCTTGATCAAGGATATGATTGAACAAGCAATATGCATGGTGTATGGAATGGCTTATGGCTTGCAATCTTTATTTTTAAATGGTTATCTTTATGCATATTATATTCATTGTCTTGCTTATCATTTGCAACTAGGATTAGTTGTTGCAGTTAGAAAAATTAATCCATTCATCTTTTTTTGTCAAAGTGATCACTTATTGTCAATTATAGACGGTTTCTATAAAGTGACATGTTCCATTAAGAGTTGCTCAATTTACTTATATTACAAGTTAAATTGTTCACCATGAGGTTCAACCTCAGAGGTTGAAACAGGTAGTGGATGCATGTAAATAGGCTTTTTGTAACAAATTTGAGATATGGGATGAAGCTCACATTCAAAATGTATTTAAAGTTTTTACTAGTCAAATTTGTGCCTACTTGTGAAGTTTTATTTCTAGAAGAACTTTACAACTAAGATGTAGCTCCATACTGTGGACAAATTTAACTAATAAACTTTGAACACGTTTTATATATGAGCTCCATCTAATATTTTCAACTCACTGCGAAGGGCTTATTTAGTTGCATTCACCAGTATTTCAATCTCATTATTAGCAATCTAACTTGCAATATGAGTGAATTAAGCAACTCTTAGTTGCTTATAATGTTTTATGTTATAAACTATTATGCTATTAACAATCATTGTTAACTTTGGGAAATTTTTTTTTGAATTGGAATATTTTCTTTAGCTACAACAACTAATATCAGTTGCAAACGATGAGCAAGACAATGATAATATGCATAAGGATAATCTTTTAAAAATAAAGCTTGCAAACCATTTTATTCATTATGCATATTGCTTGTTCTATTATACCTTTGACAACAAAGGTTTTGAACGTTGAGATTGTGGTAAAAAGGAATAAGTTCTATTTTATTTTTTGATGTCAATAGTGATGCATCTGACACATGAATGAGATCAAAGAACCTTTCTTTAATTTAACTATCATTGTCGACAAATTATGAGACCATAGCTATTTGCTCTCTTCTTGACTCGTTCCTCAGTTTCATTCATTAATAATGAGGCACAACTTAGAATCACCAATCTCTTCAAAAATTACCATACCCTTCTAGTAAAAATGAACAAGATTTCTCTTTGACTACTTTGTATTATATATTGAGCATTTTCAAGAGTATTTTTTAAAGCAATGTTAGTAACACTTGGATTGCAAGATGCTAATAACTGTATCAACTCAATAAAGTTTCCTCTATTTAATGAGTTAGTATTTTCATCATTACCTCAAAAATGCTCTTATTTGAAAAGTGAGCTACTGAATTGCATTATGGAAATCTTGAGTCTCAAGTGGTTGTTTGTAGTAGCTTGATAATTTCATTCATGAAAAACCGTTTCTTTATGTTGGAATTGAGCCCTGAAAGCAGCGCAACTTTGTATATAATAAATATTGAGGTGAATGGAATGACAGCTGAAGGTCGTGAGTCATTTGTTTAAAATTAAATGAATTCTTATTGCCTCGTGGTTAATAGAGCAAATAATGGCATGGAGTTAAGAAGCCTTAATTATACTGATCCTTGGACTGCTTGTGTTACAGGTGTGGACATCAGTATGAACACTCATTTGAAAACAGTTAAACTAACTGTGAAAGGGAAAAATCCTGTGACTCTGGATCATCTCAGTGTAAGGGGTAACAACATCCGTTACTATATCCTCCCTGACAGCTTGAATCTGGAGACATTGCTTGTTGAAGAGACGCCAAGGATTAAGCCTAAGAAGCCAACTGCTGGTATGCATATAGTTCGACTGCAAAATTTTTGCATCCAGACTCTATTGGTTTTCTTGCTAACTGTTAATATAGTGGGTTCCTGTGTTAACTTTATTATATTGATTGCATTTCCAGGGAAGCCTTTGGGAAGGGGACGGGGACGTGGCCGTGGTCGTGGGCGCGGTCGCGGACGATGAACTGCAGTTATCACAATTTTTTGGCTTGTGGGTTGTATACCTCTATTGTCGGGAGAGTTTCTGGGGAACTTTTGGAACAGCCGAGTAGCATGTGACTCAGACGAGTTAGTCCGTTTTAGCTATTTTTCTGTCAAGTGCTATTAAGTTTGACCATATGACTCGTTTTACAGCTCAACACAATACAATTGCCTCTTAGAAAACAAAAATCATTTCACATTTTAATTATTTTATTTGAGAATTTTCTAAAAGAAAATACCCAAAGAATTTATAAATCTTTTGGAAAAACATATTTTTTGATCCTTGCACTTTGTTCGGGTTTTGTTATAAGTTTTTGCATTTTTTTTATGTTTTAGGTCTCTATACTTTAATTTTTCAGTGTTTTAAATTCTAAATGAACAAAATGAATGAAGTATAGGAATTTTGGATGAACGTAAAATATCGAAATGAAAGCTTAGGGACTCAAAATGCTGGAAAAAAAGTGCAAAGATCAATAGCAAAATATGAATTAAGTACAGGGATCAAAGTATGTTTTTCCAATTCTTTTCTAAACTTAGATTATCTTTTTTCCTCTTAATTAATGAATGAATGACGAATGGCCTTCTGGTTTTGCGACATGCGAGTTGTTTTGGTAAATGGGAGGTAGTGGGTTGTGAGACCTCAAGTTATTAGTATTTGTCTCTAAATTAAAAAATTGGATGGTTTCCCATTCATTCATTAGTTTTACTAACAAAATTATCAAACTGAATGACAACATGCCTGCTAGTACAGGATCTTTCGTTTATTGCTTTTCATCTAATTGTGCTACTGGAGTCTGTAGTGTTATTCTTTGTGGTCCCTTTAAGTTAATTATTTGAATTCATCTCGCCGTTCACGCACTCGTACTCTAGTTTGATAATTTCGCCATTAACATCAGCGTTTTTGGTCCTTTCTTGGTAATAACTATTAGGGATCTAGTACTGACTTCTAATTAGATTTTATGCAAAAACAAGGATGTGCCAAAGAGAAGTATTCATCGACCAAGATTAAGTTATAAAAGACACATGCTAATTTAAAAATGTTTAGTTACATAGTACTGCCTCGGATCTTAAATATGAAATGTTTTAACTATCAAAGTTTGTTACACGTTAGTATACATTATAATATAATTGATTTAAATATATATATATATATATATATAGTGGGAGGAGAATCTTATTAGATTTTTGTAATGGGGCCAGTGATGGCCTCTTTTACAAACGTGATCTTGATGCATATTATTTTAAAAAAAAATTTAAATAAAGTATACTAATAAGGAGACTTTGGTTTTTGTGTGAAAAAGAAGTGGTCACATCTTGAAAGTTAAAACTGCCGTGCGTCTCCAAAAGTGTTTGGGTCGGGACATATGTGGTGCTGATTGAAAGATGCCATTCTGGCGCAAAAGAAAACAACGAAAAAGATGACAATAAAGTGATTAAATAAGTTTGATATTATTTTATAATTATTATAACTTTTTATAAATAAAAATTTTCATAAGTTGAAGCAGGCTCATCAAAATTAGGCTATAATTTTATTATAATGTCAAGTATTTTCATATTATACCAACAAAACTTATACATTAATATTGTTATTTAAATCAATTTTTTTTGTTGACATACAAGGGCAAACTGAATTTTGATAATTACAATGAATTAGTCACTAGAGCAAAGGCTCTGTTCTTTAATGACTATTGAATCAATCTTTTAGAACTCACACTCAATATGTTGAAACAGAAATATTAGGGAGTCATGACTTTCATGATTCAATTGATCAAATCAACTGTCGAACATGATATAATAATAAATAAAAAATAATTTGTACATAATTATACATGCAAAAGAAATAAAGTATTTGACAAATTAAAAATTAATTAAAAAAATAAAAATAGACACATGCTTCCTTCTTTTATTAAAAAAAGTAAGTCATTTTTAAATAAATCACACTTTTCAATAAAATAGTTATTTATCTTTAAGTTAATATTATCTTTTCATATTTATTCTTATTTAATATATTATTTTATTTTAAAATAAATATAAAATAATTTTGTACATAATTATACATGCAAAAGAAATAAAGTATTAGATAAATTAAAAATTAATTAAAAAAATAATATTAGATAAATTAAAAATTAATTAAAAAAATAAAAATTGACACATGCTTCCTTCTTTTATTAAAAAATGTAAGTCATTTTTAAATAAATCACACTTTTCAATAAAATAGTTATTTATCTTTAAGTTAATATTATCTTTTCATATTTATTCTTATTTAATATGTTATTTTATTTTAAAATAAATATAAAATAATTTTGTACATAATTATACATGCAAAAGAAATAAAGTATTAGATAAATTAAAAATTAATTAAAAAAATAATATTAGATAAATTAAAAATTAATTAAAAAATAAAAATAGACACATGCTTCCTTCTTTTATTAAAAAATGTAAGTCATTTTTAAATAAATCACACTTCTTAATAAAATAATTACTTATCTTTAAGCTAATATCATCTTTTCATATTTATTCTTATTTAATATATTATTTTATTTTAAAATAAATATAAAATAATTTATTTATAAGAGATATTTAAAAAAATACAATAATCATATTTTGAAATACTAAAAATATCTTACATTTTTTAATATTCATTCTTTTAAAAAATATATTATATTTTTGAATGGGGTGAGTAGAGTAAACATGATGTATTGACAAACATTTTACGCAAGTACAATTAAAAATATTTAATAATTAATATTATAAGTCCTCATCATTTAAAGTACATTGTAGCAGTACATTATAAAGTTACCATTTAGATTTCTTAATCAGAATTAAATATTTTACCCTACAAGGATATTTTTCAATTCAAAGTTGATCGTAAATTTAAAATACAATAAAAAAATTGAAACAATTTTTCTAATAAAAATTTTAAATATAAGAGGGAAATTCAGCACAATACAGAAGCCAGAAGGTTCCAGTAACGTGTCAAGTGTGGAGAGGACGTTCAAAGCAATAATTATCATGATTTTCTTCGTCTTCTAATAATTATCATGGTTATGACTGAAACAAATGCTCCCTAAGTAAATGGTATGAACCGGATTCGTAACGGAGCGTCACCGGTCCAGCTAGATCCATAAGTAACGCATTTGGCTTGGCATTGATACGCCCTAGTGCTCTCGTGCTTTGTGTGCTTCTTTTTTCCGTTTCCACTTCACTCCACTACCGTTGCTCTCTCGCTCAGATGGCTCTTGAAGTCGCTGTGAAGGCCGCCGTCGGTGCCCCCAACATTCTCGGAGACTGTACGTTCTTCCTGTCCCTCTTTTTCTCGCCTTTTTGATCGTGTATCTTTGACCCTGTTTCTGGCTTTTTGGCCGTTTGTTCATCTATTTCGCGCTTCGATTTGTTTTCAGGTCCATTCTCTCAACGGGTGCTCTTAACTTTGGAGGAGAAGCATGTTCCCCACAAGACTCACCTTATCAATATCAGTGACAAACCCCAATGGTTCGTACACTTGGAAATTAGCATGTATTATTACCCTTGTTTCGGGGTGATATTTAACGTGGGTTTGCTTGATCTTGTGTTGTTGGTAGGTTTTTGGAAGTAAATCCTGAAGGGAAGGTGCCAGTTCTTAAGATTGATGATAAGTGGGTGTCTGACTCTGACGTTATCGTGGGGATTCTCGAGGAAAAATATCCTGAACCTCCGCTTGCCACTCCTTCGGAATTTGCCACTGTGTATGCCTGCTTTTCGATCTTCAATTTTGCCCTTTCATGTATAGCGGTTTCCAAAGTTTTCAATAGGAGACGTTTTTGTTGACTTAAGTGTTGAACTTGCAGCATAGTCGTGTTTCCGAACCAAAATCATGATTTGTGGATGTGGAAACTGGAAGCTGCCATTTTCTAATCATACAAATATTAATTTTTGTAAGATTTTTTACCTATAAAATTAGTGACAATTAAATTTCAAACATTTCCGTATGGTGTAGATTTTATTATAGAAGCCAAGTTAGCAAATTATTTTCATTTCAAATATTGATCCAAACATAAATATGCTGATTCCCGTCTGCTGGTAATGGGTACCATAACAGGCGTATAGTATGCCTGCTAGCGTATAATAGGTTAAGAACATCTATGAATAGGCTGAACACCCTATTGTGTGATGTTTCTTCACATATTACTTCCTGCTAGGATTTTTATTTTGTTGTCCATGTTAATCGTAAAGATTTTCCATCTCATTCTTGATTTATGCTGTTGATGAGAAAGATGGATTGGTTAAATAATGGTCAACTTTTTATTAAGATATAATTTGATTTAGAGAGTTGTTCTTACTTCTTACCACAGAATTTGATCACATGTAACGCTTACCCTTGCAGGGGATCAAAGATATTTGGATCTTTTGTGAGTTTCCTGAAGAGTAAGGATCCAAATGATGGAACAGAGCAGACATTGCTTAATGAATTGAAGGCTTTCAATGACCATCTGCAGGCACATGTATGCATATGGATTTGTTGTGAAAAATTCCTTTTCATTTTATGTTATTTTTAATCTCTACTAATACGATGGATAAATTGTTAGGGCCCGTATGTTGCTGGGGATAAGGTCACTGCTGTTGATTTGAGTTTGGCACCAAAATTTTACCATCTTACTGTTGCACTTCGCCACTTTAAGAACTGGACTGTCCCTGAAAATTTGACACATGTCCACAACTACACAAAGGTACTACCAATTTGATTTTCTTCAGTGCTCTGCATGCCGTGTCATGGGATTATTCATTTTCATCTTCTTCCTTTTGGCTACCTTCATAGGACAGACAGACTTAGGAGCTTCTAGCCAATATCTGGAAAAACCTCCTGTTTACTCGTTGCATCATAATAGTTTGATGTTCTCTTGATTCAAACCTCAAAGTTCGATTTTTCCCCCCTCTGCATTTTAATGTTTTATATTATTTGTGATATATTTGCTGCTTTCTTTGTTCTCTTTAATTAGCATATGTGTCAAAGCAGGATCATAAGACTACTTACATGGAACGTGAACCTTGAGAAATGAGAATAGATTATTTGATTAATAATTCTGTGTGTCGATGGATATTTGGAGAAAAAGGGATGGTTGAAAGGCTCCCGGCAAAGCTGAAAGGGTTTGTTTTCTGGTTTGGCAACAAGGATAACAGCAGAAAACTTAGCTGTATAAGAATTGGATGGCTGTTCTAAATTCGGTCCTTTATGAATTTGGAGAGTGACAAAAATGATTGTAATTGATTGTAGAGCATCCGGACTGTGGCTGATGAATGATCTGTGTGATTATTGTGTTATGATCTGTGATTTTGCAGTTGCTGTTTGCCCGGGAATCATTTCAGAAAACGAAGGCTGCAGAGCAATATGTTATTGCAGGATGGGCACCAAAGGTCAATGCATGAATTAGCACTAAATTATGAGGTTTAATGTCAGTTATGTGGAGTGTTTGTGTGTGGGGCAGGACTCTTTTAACTCTTATGTGTTGTGTTATCCTTTAGTGGATTTTCTTCCTATCTAATAATAATAATAATAATAATATATTATATGTGGCCTGTGTTGTGTCTATTTGTGATGTCACTGTTGTTTGCCTGTCAGCCATTCACATCTGTTCAGACTTCAGAGTTACTTCCTCTTTGTCCAAAATATAAGATAGTTTTAACTCCCTTCACAAAAATTAAGGAAAGTAGTTAAAAATAGTTTGTATCATTGAATGGGTAAAAAATTATCACTACTTTCCAAAGTTACCCTCCAATTAGAATCAATATATTGTAATTAGAATAATTTAATGCTATTGATGTCTTGGAAAGTGTTTTTACATTTTGGACAATACTAGTTAGTAGAAAACTACTTGTATTTTGGACAGGTGTAGTGCAAAATATTTAAGGCCTGAATGGTTGGATTACATGCAACGAGATTTACATGTAATATTGATGCGATTCCCATGTATAAAATGTTTGGTCGCCATTTTACTGGTAAAGGATTATATAAAGTATTCCCAATTACATCATAATCTTTTGTCATTATATATAAGATATTTTTAGTTGAATTTCACGTACTAATAAAAGTTTGTTATTTAGTTGAAATTACATAAAATTACAGTGATTTTCTAGCTTTTTTTTTATAATGTTATAATTAATATTATGGTGGTGGTAGGTAAAGTAGACAATTAATATCATTTTTATTTTTTGAGATAAAGATTAAATTGTCTAATTATTTAAAAATATTATGATACTTTTTATATTTAGGGATAAAATAAGTTTTTAGAAAATATTATCTCCGTCCTAAATTATAAAATACTTTTAGATGAAATTTTACATATTAATAACTTTTATTAAATATACTTAACAATTTTATTTTTTTAAAATAAAAATATAAACATTTAAAAGAACTTTTTATTTAATAATTTTAAATCTACGCTCAATTAATATTAAATAACAAGAAAAAGAGTAATATTGAAATAAATATTTTTAATAAAATTTTAATTTTTTTTAAAGTATTTTATATTTTGGACAATCAATTTTTTCTAAAAGTATCTCATAATTTAATACGGAGGGAGTATTTTATATATAAAGAAGGAGGGGGTATGTGGCAATGGGGATGACATCAAAAAACTTATGCTATCTGCCTTCCTTCTCATCAATTCCCATTTATAAAGGAAAACACAAGGAAAGGCTAAATAGATTTAAACCCCACTTGGTTCACATGAATTTAAATCAAGGTAAAGGAAAGAGAGTTGAAAAGCTTATTTTCATTCATTTGGTTAGCCTGCATTTAAACTCTTGCAACCCACATTTGATTTCTTCAACTGGCCCTAGATTTTTGTTGGAAAATATTTCAGCTCCCCTCTTTCATCCTTCACCATCTCCAGTTCTGTGGACCTTTCACCTTCGCCTACATCACCGTCGCATCCATGCTTCACTGTGCACCTTCATCTTTGCTGACTCACACCATCATATCGCCGTTTAATTTCGATTCAATTTGGCCATATTCGTCTTGCTTCCGGCGTCCTTCCTCCGTTCAGTTCAATCTCATTGTGGCCATTTGCGTCGCACTGTTTCTTCGTCAGGTTTGAGCCGTCGCCAGTCTCTCCAAGCTGTTCGCGCTGTCCGACGTGTCGTTCATCTCTCCGAGCTGTTCTTGCCATTTATCGCCATATGTGTCCGTTCTCGTTCGAGCTTAACGTTGCTGTCACACATCTCTCATTCCAAGCCTGTCATGTCGTTCCATCTTCAATTCTTCGAATTCCTCTGCTGAAAAGCTACTAACCAAATCTCCTCCTTCAAATTCCTATTTTTGTTGTTTTGCTTCTTCTAGATTGTGGGGCTGATTTTCGCATATTTGGTTCGCTGCTTCGGTCAAAATGCTTCAAACGAGCCAAACAAGGTCTTATGGTAATGCCAATTTCTAATAATTTTTCTTTATAGCTCAGGATGCTCAGTTATCAATTTAAGACTCTATTTTGATACTATTTATTATTTAGAATTAGAAGAACAATAACTAATGAGAAGTTGACAAGTTGCAACTTAAAATCGGAGACAATATAATGCTGTGAACTGCTTTTATGGAAATTTATTAATTATTAATTTGTAAAATTTTGATTTAATTCTTAGTAGAAGACGATAAAATTGCTCATTATCTGTAACGAATGCTATGAAGTTTCTTACTTGGGAGATATTGATGGCAACGTGGATAGATATTGGTTTAGAAATTATTCTAGAACAACTAATAATTAACTTATTATATTCTTAATATTTTTCTTTCTCCCTTCCTTAATTACTCTTTTGCAATTTATCACTCAACTTAGTTGCAAGAGTGTGATATAAATTTCTGGCAGAGATTTATACCACAATATCGCAATCAAGTTGTGTGATAGATTGTCATAGAAAAATTTAGGGAAAATAGAAAAGAATATTGTTTCACAAAAAAAAAAGAGAGAAAAGAATATTGAGGATAGTATTTTTTTTATTTGAAAATAAAATGAAAAGACCAGAGCCTTGATGAAATTTTGTAATGCATAAAGCGCCACCTTGGGTACATGCTTGACTAGTTTTCAAGTTGCCTTGTGATTTTGTATCGAACTATGCTCAACATTGGTCTTTCAATTTAATTAGCCGATCCAATATGCTATACGTTACTCAGGTTGAGAGTATTGCTGTACATGTTTAGTTTTTTTTTTTCATATTAAATTTAAGGGATATAAACTTTTAATTTCTCAAATTTATTTCAATCATTGATTTAATTTCTTGAATTTAATTTTTATTGATTTAGTTTCATAAATTTCTTTCAATTATTTATATAATTCTTATTGTTTGAGAAGAAGATAATACTGTTTAAATCTACAAATATAGATAATAGAATATTGATAACAATCATTGAAATTATTGAAAATAAATATAATTATTTAGGTAGGAAAAGAGTCAAAATTTTTAAAAAAACAAAGAGGGCTAATTTATTATCATTTTCTTACATATACATGTAAAATTATCAATATACTTTACATATTAAATTAAGTTGAAATTCAATTTGTGTTTTAAAACTTAAGGACTAATATAATAATTTAAGAAAATGTAAATGATCAAATCGATAAAAATTAAAGTTAAGAAACAAAATCATTAACTAAGATAAGGGTAAATTATGTATAGGTTATGTAGAGCATGCTTATTTATAAATAAGTCTTACAAAATTTAAAAGCTACAACATTGCAAAGACAATAATACCCCTATTAAATATGCATTATATCAATTAAATAATTAATTTATAACTACTTTATCAGCAATTTATAACTATAATTTTAACTTTTTAAAACTATAATTTTACATATTTAATAGTTAAACAATCATGTATTACTAATAAAGTTTAACATTAATTATTTATAACTACTTCATTAGTAATTTATAACTTTAACTTCAACTTTTTACCACTTACTTCACATGTTTAATAGTTAAACTAATTAGTTTAGTTATTAGATATATGAAGTTAATGTTATAAATTATTAATGAAGTAGTTGTAAATTATTTAACTGATATAATATATGTATATTTAATAAGAGTATTATTATCTTTTTATCTAAATTTTAAATTACACTCAGGTTCTAAGCAACCTAGTTGTGATTTCTGAATTTTGTAGGATTTATTTATAAATAAATTAGTTTCATAAGACTTATATGTAATTTTTCCCCAAGATAAATTTAAAGAATTAAAAATTGCATTATCCCTAAACTGAGCTTCACCCACTAGACTGGTTAGCATCTGCTTATAGAAAATTACAACTTTTTTTAATAAAAAGACAATTAGTTTAAATACCGTTAAAGAAAGGGGAAAAAAACGAAAATTACAACTAAAACAATCATAGCAATAGCATACCATACCGTTAGATCCTTCTCTGTTTTTAGAACTTTGATTTAAATTCCTTGGTTTTGTTTGTTTTCTGTACAGTTAAAATCACATTTAAAATTCATATAATCATTTGTTTAGGTAATATAAAAAATTCAGACTACTATAAGTAAGTTGTTCTACTTATGGGAGTCATCCATATGTTTAAATAGTATTAAAAGATTGTGGTTAAAATGTGAAATAATTAGGGTGTAATAGATACTTGAAATTTTGAAGGAATAATTATTACAAAATATTGGATGGGCTTTGGAATAAATCCAAATCCATAAAATCAAAATTTTATATACAGTTCCAAATCCCTGCTAACTCAAACATAACATCAAGCATTTCAAACAATTATTGATTCGAAATCCATATAATACTTGTTTGAGTGACTTTCTTTTACTTTTATAATACATCATATTAGTATGTGAATGTCACACAAGTCGGGGGCAGAACAGAAATCTCACCCAAGCCTGAACTCGAATTTACTACCCAATCCAAACAGGTAAATTTTACAGATGCTCAATGGCATTGACATCGTTTGTCCATCCGAGGAATCATGCTAGAATTGGAGAAAAAGAAAAAAGAAAAAAATTGAAAAGGAGAGTTACACACTGGGGGCTAGAATGAGTAACCAACAATGATGAATTTATATATATATATATATATATATATTCTATTCCTTATATTTTACAATCGGTCACTAAATATTACAAACACGAATTATTTTCAACACTAGCAAGATTGCACCCTGGCCAAATAATTCCATAGCTATCCAAAAGAATGGGATAAAACAGAAATAAATTTATTTACCACATTTTGAGAATTCAAGATTTTCTTGACAACAATGGCTCCAATTGGGAATCTGTGTCCTTGGGAAGAGGAGGATTGTCATTACCAGCCTCCAGATCGGTACTTGAAAGGCTCTCTCCTCTCTGCTTTAGTGACCTCTCAAATAAACTTGGATTATCTGCTGTCACAGAGAAAGATGAAGTTTGTGGAGTCCTGGACACATCTTTTAACTGTTGAACATGCTGCAAGCAAACTTGAACAGCATCATGTACTCTCACAAAGTACCACTCTTTGCCTATCAGCTCCACCAAATCAGATTTGGACAAGGTAAGCAAAACTTCTGGGTTTGGATTGGAGATTGCAATCTGCAAGAAAAACC